AAGAAGCAGCTGCTGTAATTTCCCTGGGGATGTTACTCAGGTAGGTGTCCATGCCATCAAAGGTATGACTGCATCTTGCAGAAAGCTGCGTGACATGTGGTGTGGCTTGGTGATTCAGCACTGTAGCCATGGTAGCACGGAGATCTATGTGGGCTAACTTGCAGTGCATCTGACTAGTGCCTAAGAGGCAGCTGCTGTCTACAGGTTAAACCCTAGTGAGCAAACAAAACCTTATGGGTAGAGACAGAAGTTACATATGAACTGGTAAAAGTGATCGGAAAGGGGTTCAAATCTGTAACACAACAGAGGTTCAGTGCACATAAACTGCTTTCAAAGTGGCCAAACCTGGTTTAAGATAAATCTGAATGGATGTAGTATCAGACTCAACTGGTTTAGGTTAAATCAGTTTATTGAACTTCTGTCCCAGATACCCTCCAGATTCAAGTTAACTCACAGTCCCCCAGCATCCCAGGATGATTTGCACCTCCCCAAAAACTTCCCCTCCCAGGGTGGGTGGGCTAGCCTTGGCCCAAGCTGTGCGCCAAGCAGGGAGATGTGCTCCAGCACCCCCTGGTTTCTGGCCTGGGCTATTGCAGGCATGTGGCTGCATTTCTGGAATCAAAAGTGAATGTCTGTTCATTTGCTTATCGGTTCAGTCTATGCAGCTTACACTAACCTGAGAAGATTGGATTGAGTCAGCCTCAGGCTTTTTGACTGTCTGTACTTAGCCTATATGGATCCAAGATATTACAATGGGGTCCTGGCTTGGAAATACTGCTGAACCTGGGCTCTTCCTCCTTTCATTTATACATAGCAAAAATATTGTATGCATCTTTATATACTAGAGAGGGGAAATATAGGGTGTCTTTGCATGCTATAAAGGTTTTACTGACATAGGGATAGGATGACCAAATACCTCACATGTGGTAAAGAGTTCAGGGAGATATGTGGGTCACCCTAAATGACGTCTGCGTTTGCACCTATTTTACAGAAGGAACATTGCAGAAATGTTTTAGAGGGCGTTTACACTTTTACAAGCACTGCTTTTCATATCCCTTTGCAGATTAAACTGGGTTTATCACTTACCATGAATCTAACCACACAGCAAACACACAAGGAGAAAAGTTATAACTAATCCACCATAGGAATCTTCAAGAGAAAAGCCCATGCATCACAACATCATTATTTTAAGATCCAATATCTCAGGACTTCTCCAGACTCAGAGAAAGTGCTGGGCACTCTGTGGGATAGTAGGGAACCAGAGAGTTCTTCTTTTTTAGGCCTCATGAGGCCACAAATTTTCTGAGTTAAAGTCAGTCCTGGGTGAATCTCATCACCCAGCCTGCATCTCAGGCCATCCAACGTAGATATAATATGTTAAGGGAGAAAGAGGAAGCAAAACCCAGCCAGACAAGTGTTTCAAAGAGAAGTGGTGACTGCTCAAATCTACTCAGAAGTTTAGCTTTAGCGGAGAAGGGTCAATGAGCAGCTTGCAAGTCAGGCAATTAGGGGCGCACCCTGGTTACTGTGCTGACACCTCATCGGACATATGTGGAATAGATACACGGCGATATATACACTCAGGGTGGCCCTAATTCAGCTGTGTTAGAATGATGCTGACTTTGACCCAGACTTTGATGGGTTTCCCCCTGTGCTAATCTCCTGTTGTCCCCTACTGCACCCTAATTGATAACATTTCCCAAGGGATGTTACCTGCTCTTGGGTCTGTAAATGCCACGGCCAGTGGCTGGACCAGTGACTGACTCTACTATACTTACACTCCTATAAATGGAGTTGCTGCAATTAAGGCCATAGGCTGGCTCTTCAGCTGGTTCAAATCAGCATTAATCCCAGCAAAGACAGGAAGGCTAGCCAGCAGAAGACCTGAGCCAGCAAAGCCACACTGGTGCTGGAGTAATAGCAGTGATCAAACAGTCAGCCCACTATGAATATTGTCTCTTGGAGTATGTTACCCTCCCTGCTTCTGGGAGAGGCAAGTGCCTTTTCTAGGGATCCTAGAAAATGAACTTGTCTAACATCTGTCCCAACTATACAGTTGGTCTGACAGCATAAAAAATCCTTCTCTCGTATGTTTTCTGGACTATCGCTGGTACAGCACTCTAACCTGGTGATTCTCAACCTTTTTTAGGATCCTCCGAGCAAAATGCCAGCTCTTATTTTTCACTTGTTTTGTGACTACAGAAAAATAGTAGAACAATTCTTTTGTTGCAAAAAACCAGAAAGACCAGGACAGGTCAGAATGTTTTTGACACTGTGGATTCCTATTTGAAACCTCTGGGTTTATCTTGTGAATCATGTGTAGGTGTTTGCACACCTAACAGTGCTCAGATTGCATGGGCCATATTGCTCACAGTGCATGGATCACCATGCTCATATTGCTGAAACACCCTGGTTGAAAACCACTGCTCCAACCCTAGAGTAGGTAATCCAAAATCAGTCAGCTGTATCTAAAACTCAAAAGGAAGTCTCAAGCTTGGGGTCTCTATTGCATCCAGATTAATTTGCTCTATGACTACCTTGACGGATGACTGAATGGTCATGGGTACGGCTTTCTCTTTGGAAACAGGCACAGATGCTCCATCGCGGTGGCTCTGTATACTTAAGAAGTATATTTGGTCTCGGGAGGACGCATCAAAAATTTTGATGCCTAGCAGAAAATAAAAATATTTGCACTTCGTTCATTTCCAGAGCTGCGCATAAAATGTATCCCCTCAGGGCATATCCAAGAAAAAGACTAGAAATAAAATATAAATTCTAAAGAGCAGTAAAATGTTTATCGCTTTGGGGGTTATGAGTGTTCAGCTTTTATTACTATGAAAATCAATTTACTGAACTTAGGTTTACTGCAAAATCAAAAAAGTTAAAATCTGAATTCATTTTGCTTCAGCTGGGGGTTTTATGTCAGAGTCAATGCAGGAGCAGGAGGCTTGCTTCCCCTAACAGATGCCAGTAAGTATCATGTCTCCGAACAGGGCACTTCCTTGAGCGCGACGTGTTAAACATCTGCTCCGGTCCGCCTGCCTCTTGCATCGAGGCATCAGCTTTCCCTTGCACAGAGCAGGGAAGATGTGCTCCAGGAAAGCCTATGCCACCCGCGGTGGTGAAAGGTATGGACCCCTGAGGAGCTCTCAATGTGCCAAGTTATTTACTCTTGTCCAAGACTGACGCCTGCTCTACTTAACCCGGCTCGTCATTTTAAGGAGACGCTGGGGGAACATTTTTTAATCAAAATTAAAATAAGCCCCATTCATCTGTTCCAGTGATGCTATTTGGTATTCAGAGAGCCCTTCCTCTCTTATCTGATGTCTCCAGGCTCTTTGTTTAGAAGACGGTCAATCCACGCTGTCAGGAGCTCCTGGCTCTGTGATTCCCCAGGACGCACGCAGGGATCCCTTCCTCCCCGGCAGCCTGAATTAAACTGTCGGGGAATTTCTGCCCCCTGCACTGTTCTTCCTGATGCTCTGCTTTCTGCTCCCTGCCCGAGCTGCTGCTCTGCTTTCTGCTTCATGCCCTATCCGCTATCTTGGTGCCCACCTTCTCCCCAACCTGCCATGTGCCACACACAGGTTGCCTGTGCCACTTGTGGCTCCCATACTGCTCTACAGAGCGGTGGGGAAGGAATACCCTTGTTTGCTCAACAGGGCTCCCATCGGCCAAATGACGCAGGGCACAGATGGTCTTTGGTGGCAGCCTGGTCCTGCTCCACCCCAGGAAGAGGCACCGAACTCGAGCAGAAGTGATGAGCACAGACCATTTACCCACTTACAGTGGCAGCATTTTAGTTTAACCTCAGCCGCCTTCCCACCAAGGTACAAAAACAAACCATGCAAACATCCTCCCCTCTCAAACTTACAACTTTGCAAGAATCTGATCTGAAAAAACAAACCCAGGAGAAAAGAGGAAGTAACCAGTTTCCCCTGAGGGGATTTTCAATTGCATTTATGACCCGTTCACACCATCTGCTGTGAACTACGGGCTGTTCTGCTCCTTGTTCGTGCTCTCCGAGGCTCATGTCTTGTGCACAGCTGCAATGTAGTAAGCAGGTTTTTTGGTGCAGGTCTATGCAGCGGGGGAATGTAGGACACAGTCAATAAATTGGTTACAGTTAAAAAAACCCCTACCTTTTGGTTTGTTTATTGCTGATGAAAGAGATGATTTCTGCTCCAGCACGTTCACCCGCAAGTTGCAAAAAATATGATTTTCTAAAAAATTGCAAAAAAGGTGGTTTTCAATTAGTTAAAGATAAAAGCATGAAAAATAAAGGCAGGGAGAAATGGCTTCATATTAACAGACTGTCCCGTGCTGTACTCCAGCCCATCCACATCTCATCGTCCCCTACATTTATTTTTGTCTGTGGATGTCTCAAAACCTAAAATTGAGAAAATAAGCAGTTGACCAGAGGTGTTCAAAAGATGTAAACACAGTTTAGAAAGAAGGAAAGAAATCAGACTGTTTTCACGTTGCAGCGGGTAGTGGGGACGGTGACACTTTACTGGGAAGCCCACTTTGCAGTCAATGGAAAACTCCAATCATAAACTGGATATAAAGGGAGAATTTCAGTCGATTTATCCTGTAAGACTATTTCTGTTTGAGAAAGAGGTGTTTCTATGCAGCAAAAAGCTTTGTTTGAAAAGGTTTTGACCAGTTCATGAAAGCAACTGCTCACGAACAATTCTGAGGATGAAAGTTACTGATCCAAACAAGTCAGCAAATACTCAGGGACGCTGGGTACTTTCCAGAAGCACCAGCTCCATTTGGGAAAGTTCATATGGTTCATCAGAACTGATAGGAATACTTTTGGCCAGCTCTGGTATCCTACAACTAAGTTATAAGCATATGAATACTAGGTGTTCATGATGGTGGCGCTGGCAAAGCCCTCGACACTAGGAAGGCAGACATACACCCTGCCAGTTCTGACCCGTATGGGTTCGACATCTACACTGGTACAAACAGGCTATGCAAGCCAACACGTGGCTGCCAGGGTTAGATCAGTTTTGATTCACCCTTTTGGCTCTTTGAAGGCAGGCCAAGTCTTATTCCAGAATACACATGTCCCTTCCAAAACAAGTGCCTCGGCCCAGCCGTGAGTGAAAGCTGATTTAGTTATTTAAGGGCTGGTTTGCATAACGGGCTCTGGACGTGAGCCCCACACTCGCACTGATGGTGCTAAGGGTTGAAGCGTGGGCAGGTTTCATCTCAGCTGACCCGGACTCTTGTGTTCTTTATCCAGCTCTGCACTCTTCCCTGCTGACAGGCTCCTGGATTTACACCGGGGAGTTTCTGTTTGGACTCCCTGGAGACTGGGACAGCCGCACAAACAGACTTCGCCCTGCACTCCCAAACAGCAAACGAGGTCCATAGATTAAATATCTACATCTCCATCTGTCAGCGCGGCCGAACCCAACGGTGCCGGAGAACAGCTCCAAGGACAAACACCGGCTCCAGATTCCCGTGGCCCTTGTACAAATGAGGTGCCTCTAGAGCAATCAGTGTCGGCTCCTTCCAGAGCCCCAGTGACGACTGCCAGGATCGCAGATTTATGGGGGAGCCATTGAAATGGCAATATAAACAGGCATGTCTGCATGCATGATATACAGGGCTGCTGTAACTCTTTTAACCAGGGCCCCCATGTCCAATAGGATACGCTATGCCAGCCTTTCGTCACCGGCTTGAAATATTTAGATAACTCCCTCCTCAAAGTCAAGAGGCATTTTAAGGATGGAGCCTCAGGAATGATGGGGAGGTCAGCCAGTTTTGACCATCACTATTGCAAATTTTAGTACCCCTGCAGGCAGTTTCCCCCCCCTAGAAATCTCAGCCATGAGCAAAAACAGGCCCCGAGGAAGGGCTGGCAGAGTCCACAACTGAATAAGGAACTGGGAGAAGAGAAAGAGGGGTAGTATTGGCAACTCACTGGCCACTGCCTAACTTTGCTTATAAAAGCATCAAGGATCCCTGGGCATCACCAAGGATCCCTGAGCATCACTGCCGCTACCTGCCGTGCGTCAAGGCAGCTCAACCGATGCGCACCAGGCACCCCAGGGAGGAATACCACATATAGCGTCCTTTCCTTCGTCAGGGCCAGATTTCCAGCTTCACACATGCTATCAGCAAGGACCCCCCCCAGATCAGAGCACCTAGCACAGATAGCCCTTCAAACAAAAACTAAACCCTCTCTCCCAATCATTCTGTGCACCCCCTGGTTGAAGCATCATCTTTGGTTGCAAAGGGCACGACAGAAATGCACATTCACGTGGGGAAACCAGCTGCGGGAAGACGGACTGGAAATTAGAAAGGAATCGACTCTGAACCATATCTGCGGGAATTTAACAGAGACACCAAAAACTACCCCATACAATGCAGCACACTGGCAGTCTGGCAGGTGGGAGTGATGATGGTAATGTGGCCGGCGACCTGGGCTCTTGGCACCAAGCCTTGACACCTTGTTGGCCCTCTCACCATTTTGATTTTTCAGCTGCCGCGCCAGGAAAAAAGTTCATCTCTCCATCTTGCGAGAGAAGGAAAGTGCATTGCCATTTTTCAAAGGGTCATCTGATAACCTTGTCAGACTTAATTGTGCCATAATCAAATTACTCCCTGGAACGCAGTGCGATGCAATCAATCGCATGCAAACACCCCCGACAACCCTACAGACATGAAAGGCCGGGACGCACCATTTATAAAGAAATTGCAGAATTGCGGGGATTCATCTTCATTTACTGAAAGAAGGTTTTCTTGGCTTGCAAGAGAGCAAACCAGAGAGAGGGGGAGAGCGGTATTAAGCGGCCATGAATCATTTAGAAAGTGCTGGTGGGGAGTCAGCGGGAAAAAAACTTTAGTATCTGTGCTGCCAAAGAAGGGGAATGATAAACCTGTGGGGGTGATGCAGTGCCCTGGAAATCCAGGGATGTTTTGTGTCTTTGCAGACCTTCTTCAAGGGGATCTTTCTTGTAGGTTGCATAGCTAAGTTATGGAGACAAAGCAAGGCATCGTGAGAGAGGACTGGTCTTTTAATCTCCTCCCCAGCTAACAGCTACTCATTTATTGCCTTGGTATCCTCAGCTTATGTCTCTCCTTCCGTTCACTATGGGACCTAGCGCTGAAGCCCTGCAAACAACAACTGCCTTGGACACAGGCTTATAACAACATGGGCATATTGCTCCACAAAGCGGGTGAAGTGCATTCCCTCGGACGGGAAGTTTCTCGCTAATAGGTGCGTTGTCTCTAAAACCACCACAGGGCAGAGAATACAGGGTCCAAAAGATGTGCAACCAGCAATGTGAAGTCTATGAATGACTCCAGGAATGTGTGTAACACAGTCCCAGAGCAAGGGCAAATGGTAGGGAAAGCAAGTGGCTGATGTTTGTGTTTTAAATGCACGTCTCAAGTCACCCTTAACCATCCCGGTATCAGTGCCAAGGGTGTTTAGCTGCATTGCAAAAACCTCCCCCCCGCCACACATACTCAGAGGTCCCTGCTCTGGGGACAAGATGCACTCACAGGCATATACTAGCCAGGGATATTCTGACAGCCCTAGGGATTGCTGGAGCAATTTCACACGTGGCCTCTCAAAACTGCACAGAGATGCAGGGATGCCACCCAGCCCGCCCTGCTGCAAGTGCTCAGTCCTATTGCCTGCGCTGGAAGAAAATCTCCTACTTCCAGCGCAGGAGTCTGACACAGTTAGCCGGTTTTGAGTCCACCCAATAGAAAGCAGTGCTAGGAAACACACCCATACGTTTAATAAGCTACTTTGCCAATGGGGCATCTAGGGACGCGATTTGTAAGGGTCAATATCCTGCTGGTCTTATTCAACAGGAAGCACCACAGCCTTTGCTCTGACTTACAGTCCTGAAAAAGGGGAGAAGGAGTCAACCGAAGGTTTGTCATCAGAGCTCGGCGGTTTGCTTGGGAAGGTTCAGGCCCTTTGTTTTACTTTAAACTGGATCCCCTTGCAAGCAAAGCCGGCAACTCAAGAGTTGTGGGACAGCTTCTATCTGGCCTCCAGTCACCATTAAGTCCCACATCAGTTACAGGGCACTTTGAACTCCTGGAAAGGAAAAGACACCATAGGAGAAGTACTTCAAATTTGTGCCCAAATTATCCCTTTTTCCAGTGATGAACCTGAGCCAATTTTTTTAACAAAACCCTAAACATCCTCTAGTTTCCTAAGGACAGATGGCTTTTTGAAACTCATGGCACCATTGGTAAGACACCTTCCCTTCATAGGTTAGGTCATTTTTCAGTCACGTGGCTCCTGCCTCACTTTGCCCGCTCAGGCTCCCATTTTTATCTCACTTACCTTCATGAATTAGAAACAACCTCACGAAAGCCCGTGGCACTGCCGCAGTAGGAAAGGAGAATCCCATCAACCGTCTTGAAAGGAGCTTGACATGAAGGGTTCAGGTCTTAATGCAGCAGTGCAAGAAGACAAGGCCTCTGCAGTAGTGAAAGCACAAATATTCTGGGCCCTATAAAAACAACATTCATTGCCTGATTTTTTTTTGTATGTTTGGCCAAATTTCCATCACTCTTCACAGCTTGGCATGCCAGATACTTGCATCCAATAGCTGGTGCTATCACCCAGTTCCCCTACCGTCCTCAGAACTTTAATCCACTGTGTGTGGGTATGAATCAAGAATTGCAATAAATGCACATATGCATCACTTTTTCCTAGCTCATACTTAGATTATATCATATACTAAGGTAGCTGGTGATGGCTGAGTGCGAGTGAAAGTATGCAGTACTCACAGATAAGCTTTCTTATGATTATTATTGATGTCGTTATATTCCGCTTAGTATGATCTGGGGTCAGAGAAGGGCATCCACATGGCTTGTCAGGAACAAAGAGGATGTCACGAGTGTCATGGATGAGTTGCCTGTCATCATGCCCCAAGTGTTGCATTTTCACCCTGCAAAACAAAGAAGCGAATAATGCATTTTATGCCCTCCCTGTTTCTCAGGTTGCTCATGTCCATCTGAGCTTTCTGTTCGCAGAGAGTGACCTACAGAGTCTCTTAGAAGTGCCTGGGGGAAGTACCCCTGTAACATGAAGCATAATAACCAGTTGTCCGAGTCTCACTCAGTGGGAATGTTTTTTATTGACTTCCATGGGTGCTGGAGCCAGGACTAGGACCGAGTCCCTGGGAAGGGCTCGCTAGCTGATCGTGGTCTCAAAGAGTGGCTGCTAAGGGCTCTGGCAAAGCAGCTTTCACTAAATATAGGAAGTGACTGCCACCTCCAGCCCTCTGACTGCTATTAAGCAGCAAGCAATTACCGGGCCTCCTTGAATGACTTTGAGAATGTAAAAACTTGTTTTACTGCTTACTTGTACTGTAGATATAAACAGTCCGACTCGTAACACAGAAACAAGAGATGGCAATTATCCCAGACCTATTAGCTGTGTCTGAATATAATATACTAGAGGCTTCCTTGATCCGCTGGAATTTATATGACCATTAATGTGGATTGTAAATTGCTGTCAGTCGGGATAACTTGATCCATGTTTTTTGGAGAGGTAGGGGAGCGGGAAGGGAGGGTGAAGGGAGAAAGGAAAGTGGCCCACGATGGTAGAAAAGATCAAGACAGAAGGGGCCATACAGCAGCATTAAGTCTCTGCTGTCTACTGGCACATAGCAGATAATAAAAATAGGTTTAATTTAACATATAAGGATATTGTGTCAAAATAAAATGTCTCAAGGACAAGCAGGGAACGTAAAAAAGTCATGGCCCATGCAGGGAGGATCAGCTACACATAATAAAGATACATTAATGGTATATTTCTTAAGAGAAATTTTCATACTTGGGCGTTTTATGAGAAATAAGAGTTTAAAATATTAAAAGCGGGAATTTTATGAGTGGAAGGGAAAAAAACGTTCAGATGAAGGTGACGCAGGAAAGATAGTGCAAAAGCAAAAGGTTATTCATTGATCCCCTGATGGCAGAGAGGGACATGGGGTGATGCTTTGTGTGTGAACTTGGATGGTTTGCAACAAGCCCTTTACATTTTACTCTCCGTTGAAGCCAATGGGGGGGGGGGGTTTGGAACAGGCACTGAATTAGGCCCCATTGCAAGGCTGCTGGAAATGCATTAAAAAAAAGAAAGTTTCCTGGTGAAACAAGAGGGAAGCGAAGGTACTTAGATTGGAGCCACTCGTGTGCCAACAGACAAAACAAAAATAAATGGGAAAAATACCGTTTAACCCTCACATAGAAATGTTCAAGGCAAAGGCAATTACTCCGTGGAATGAGCCAGAATGAAGTGTATTCCCTTCTGATTTTCTACTTGGGATGTGGGAGTTTTGTAGACAAATGGCATCAGCTCCTTTAATATCTGACCGGGGAATCAAATCTAGCAAGGGATGATGCCAGCAGGCTCTTAGCTACTGTAGGATCCTTATTAGGTGATAATTTACTGTGGCTTTATTTTTATAAATTGCCTTGTGTTACCTCCACTAATGAAGTCAACGGGAGTTTAGCTTGTGCCAAGAGGTTACGTTTTGGCCTTAGGAAAAATGTCTTTAGGAAACGCGCTGCACGCTATCAATGCATCTTAGTGGAGTTAACTGCCTTAAGAGCCGTACTCTAATGAGATACAAAGTGCCATTACTTTCTGGCCGAGCGTGGTGGATTCACTCGGGGTCTGGCAAAATCGAGTGCCTTAGTGAGTTAATTTTATTAGCAAGGAGAGAGTTAACCTGAGCTGCTAAACAATAAAAATCAACTTACAGTTGTTGTACCTCTTTGTCAATGGTTGGGAAAAGGAAGCTGGCTTATTCCCTCTCACTGAGTTCACGGAGAGGGTGCGAAACAGCTCAGGTACCAGGAGCTTGATTCCTGGAGATGGTCCTGCTCTCCTGTAATGCATGAAATGAGCACTTTTGTCCCTGGGCTTGTAAAACCTGGTCTCCAGTACGAAGGTGGAGATAATTGTGGGGTCAGCGGCTCCTAAACCATGTTGGTTCAACTTGGGAGGAGGCCCCATAGTCCAAGTGGCCACATATGCAGACATTTAGGAAGAAAGAAGCCGCTGTTGCTGTATACAGAGAATCATGCAAATGGAGCCCAGTGAAAAGCCTGGCTGAAAGTCTGACCTGCTGTGCTTAAAGTCATGTTTTTAAGTCAAGAGAAAGCAGGACTAAAGCTACCCCTAGTTGCTAACTGGTTGCTCTCCTATAGCATGACTTTTTCAAATACAAGGACTACTTTGCAGTAGCTTGGACACTATAAATATTAATGCAGAGTATATTATACTTGCATATCATAACTATTCATGACGGATGAATATTAATACCCTCCATGTGAATTCCCCCTCAGGACTCGTGATGCTCTTCACACAACACCGTCGTTGGGTGTCTGGGGGTGACATGAGAAGTTTCCTTTCTCCATGGATTTTATACCTTGTGCTTAACTCTGGCAGCAGCAATTACTGTTGGGGTAGTTTTGCTGTAATTAGGAGGGTCACACCATATCCTAGTGTAAAGAATTTTCTTCAAGTCTGTTCATTTAATTGGCTTCATGACCCCACAGTAATATTCCTGGAGAACAATTTGTGCGACCAAAACCTGTATGAAGGCGTACGGGGACCGCACTTTTATCCGCGCTGCGTGAAGTGTATTTGTCATGATTAGGACACCCGAGCCTTGTGTGGTCCATTATATTTTATACTAGTTTCCCAAACATTCACAGTTAAATAAACTATGATAACACTTCATAAACATTTTTCTAACATGCGGAATGTTTGACATGAATTTCAGCTATTTTAAAGCTAATAAACAATTGTCAATTCGACGCTGGAGACTAAGCAGAAGCCGCGCTGTTTTTTATGCAACATCAAAGGCATAATAAATATCTTCCTGGAAAAAAAAAGAAGAGGAAGGCAAGCCTTTTGTACTTCTGCATCGGAGCCTCTGTCAGAAGCCAGAGGAACAAGCACTAGGGCTGTGTGTTATTGTCTGCCACGTTCAGGGCTTGGCGAAGCAGGCTATCGAGTGAGAAATATGAGGCGCTACACTTCATATGATCAGACTGCACTTAAGCAATCTCTTGGTAACTGAAAAAGAGGAGCGAATGTCAGACTCTGGCTTTGCTAGCTGCTAACTTGCTTCTCGCAGGCAGCGAGGCACAGCTGCAACCCGCAGGTACGGCGCGGGGCCTCTTGTGAAGCCACTAACAAGTTCCTTGAGTACAGAGGGTCTGCTCTGCCCCTGCCCCGTACCTGGCGAGGCAGCTGCGCTTACAGAGGATGGAGGTTCAGGCCCTAGGATCTCACAGACGATACGTCTATGAGTGGGAGGATTGGGGGCTGCTCTGACTGGGTCCTGCAGGCGCCGAATCTGAAAGTTTCAAGAGAGCAAATGTGAGCATGTGTTGCTGTGCCCTCTGCAGCAAGCAGAGGTTAAATCTTAGCACCCACCTACTAAACCACTGGGATGCCAATGAGGCCAATGCCCCCTTTTCGTGGTGGCTGGTTGTCCCCTGTGCAATATAAAGGCAGATAAGAGCAAGAACGCTTGCACGGAGCAACGTCAAGGCACTGCTGGTTTGCAGGCCTAGGACAGCCCACCAGGAAGTGCACCTGTCATGAGGGCTGAATGCACTTGAGCAGAAGAAATAAGATATCACAGGCTTGTGCTGCCAGGAGACGTGTGCTGAGCCATGATGCCATATAATATATTTATTAAAATCACACAAGCGACAGAAGATTATCAACTCCCCACAACCACAGGATGCAGCTTCCTAATTCTTCTTCCCTGCCTAAGTACTCACATGCCAATGTAGTGCAGACCTTGACAAATAGATTTTAAAATAAACAGTGCCACAGCATGTGAGGATGCAGAAAACTAGGCTTACTCGATCCCGCTGCCCCTGCAAAATGAGTGGCACCCATGAATGCCACCGATCTGCAGCTGTGCCACCGGTGAGACCACCTTGTTTCCCTTTTCTCATGCCAGGTTGGGTTCTCTCCCCAAGAGATCTGCCTGGCTATGGGGGCCCAGGAGGTGGGCAACTGGCTGCCAAGGCAATGAAAGAGCACATTTCATCACAGAAAGAAGGAGACTCTCCCTTCTATGTCTGGGCCATGACGAGGCCACAGACTGATATGTTGATCAGCTTGCCATGTCTTGGCTTCATCAGCCACACTGCCAGCTCAGAGACGTGCTGTAGTAAGAGTTTTATGTCAGAGGTATCACAACAGTTTGTATTCAAGCGACCCGGTTGGGAAAGCTGGGTTAGACCAGGGGCCAGGGACCAGTACTGTTTTTAACATTATTCCAGGCTGGGAAGCTGCAGAGGGCATTAAGAGAGCAGAAGTGGGATCAGCTTTCCAGGCGAATCGATGGAATTCCATCCGTCACGGCAAAGCCAATTTGTCATCAGCTGCCGACCAAAAAAACCTTATCAACTCCTGAAAAAACCTTGTGGGCAACAAGGGGAATCATTTGAAATTTGCCTTGCTCAGATTTTCACAAACTCTCCTGCATCTCAGGCATTAACTGCTGGGACGGGGGGAAGAGCTGGGTGAACAAGATGTTGAGCTTGGAGCGGACTCCTGTACTACCTGCCTGCCACGAACCAACTGCACCAGCAAGGAAGCTGCTGCCTTTCTAAAGGGACTGTGAAACAGCACTCAATTGGCACACGTGATGTTGGGTCTATCGAGGATACGCATGCAGCCAAACGCTTACTTCTCTAATGATGTGACTGCAGGTCCGCTCAGATCAGCCCCCGCTCGTCACCTGAATCACGATTTCCCCGATTCCAAAAGAGTCCAAGACTCAGCAGCTGAAAACACACGTGGATGGGGACAGCCTGGCTCAGGAAGTACTGCAAAGTCCCAGCCTTGCTTCAGTCACTAGATTGCACTCTGGCCCTGCAACCTCCTCCCGAGCTCTGCAGAGTGCAGGGGTAAATCCTTTGATCTCTCTCTCCTGGGCAGGATGAGAAGACAGCTCACAAAAATATTTCTGCAGAAAAATACAGTCAGGCAGCAGAATTTTATTTTTTTAGGTGTGCCCTGGATTGAAAAAGAGCCTCCTTTAAAATAACAGCTCATTTAGAAAGTGATAGGCCAGCTCCTTTCATCTATTGTCCATAAAGTTCCAGCCAGTCAAAGGCTTCCTTGCTCAATACTGATAACTATTCATTTTAGGATGGGAAGTTGCCACTGCTT